CCACCTGCACCCAGGTCTGCGTGGCCTTTCACACACGCTCTCTCAACACGGGACCCCGCTCTCCCCGCCTTCAGCACTCTCGCGGAGACCTGGGCACGCCCGTCTTCCTGAATTTGGTCTGAGCTTGATCCTCACCCTTCAACTCTGAGAAGTGTCCTGAGTTCCCCTCTTCAAACCTCAGCTCTGCCCCTTCCCAGCGGCAAGGCCCCTGAGCCTCAGTTTCCCCATCTATTAAATGGGGGTGATACTTGCCAGTGGGCAAGTGTCGATACCAGGTTTGAAAATGACATGTGGCTACTTTGGAGGATCTTTCTCGAGGTCAGAGGCCTAGAGTCCGCAAAGCAAAGGGACTGGGTGATACCTGCCTGGCTCACCCGGAGCGGTGCCCAGAGGCACATGTGAGTGACAACTGGAAGGGGATGGAGATCTGTGTGAGCAGGAAGGTCTGCACTCCCCCTGCAGGGCCAGAGGTCTGATAACAAGAGGCCAGTGCAGCCAGGGTGGGAGGGGAGCTGCCACGGGCCAACTGTACCTGCGACCCAGGTCTGCAAGGAGCGAGGAGTTTGACCCCATAGCAGGAGCCCCCCCCCCCCCCCCCGCCACTAGCCATGAATGAGTGACCTCCACCTGCAGTGTATGATTTAAAAAAAAAATACATAAAAATTCAATGGAAAAACTGGACCAAGGGAAAGGCCCCACAGGGAGGGAGTGGGCCTCCATGTCCTGCCCTTTCTCTGAGCTGCATCTCCAAGCTGCCAACCTGGACATCTTTCCCTCTGGTGCCTTTCTGGGTTTTTCTTTCTCCGAAGGCTCAGTCAGGAGGAGAGTCACACAGCCAGCAGGAGGGCCTTCGGGGCTCACAGGCGTGGGTGTACCTGACTGCCTTCACCCATGACCTCTCTGGGCAGGGCCAGTCCCCCGGTCCCAGCCTGCCTGGGCCCACAGCTGGTCCAACCAGGGCGGCCGGCTGCCTGACACAGGCTGGTCCAAACAGCCTCCTCCACAGGAACGTGGCGGGGGATACTGGGCAGCTGGGTCGCTTGGCTCTGGGGCTCTGAGCTGCAAGTCATGTGGATGTGAGGGCCAAGTGCAAATGAGCTACTTGGGGCAGGGTGGGTGGGTGG